TACGTGTATGTGTGAATATATATATATATATATAAGCTCTGGTAGCGTAGTGGTTACTATTTGGGCTGCTAACCTCAAGATCAGAGTTTGGAAGTACCAGCTGTTCTTCAGGAGAAAGATAAGGCTTTCTGCTCCAACAAGGCTGCTATGAGTCAGAACTGATTCCATGGTGCATGGTTCTGATTCCAGAACTGATTCCATGGTGCACCAACACTAGCACACACTCATATATATAAAGGAAGGTTTATATCAAGGAAACAGCTCACACAATCACTGTTGCTGTTTTTGTTAAGTGCTGTTGAGTTGGTTCCAACCTATAGCTACCCTGTGTAGGGTTTCCAAGGAACAGCTGGTGGGTTTGAACTGCTGACCTTGTGGTTTGAAATCTAGTGCTAATCCTAAAGCATCATACCAGAAGTCCACACAGTTGTAGGGAAAGTTCCAAGTTTGCAGGTCAGATGTTAGGCTGGAAGTTTCTAACTCACATAGCTACAGAGCTGATGAACAAAGATCAACTGGAGGTAAAAAGACAGGCTTCTGATGACTCACAGAACAGCCATGTAAGGGAGCAAGCCACTGGCTCAAGTCCAAAGAACAGGAGGTCAGAGGAGAAGCCAGATGCTAGATCCAGACCCAGGAGAAAGCAAGCAATCTTTGCCTGAGTGTCCAGTATGTTGGAAGCAGGCAACACTCCAGAGGAAACTTCCTTTCAATTGATTGTCTGCTCATAGAAGACCTTATCATAGAGTTGATTGCAATTTATCAGTTCCTATCATGGGAGATACTATATCTCAACTGCCAAACCACTGACAATCCTGTCCTAGTGGAGCTGACACAAAACCTTAACTATCTATCACACACAGGCAAAAATTTTATGAAGAATGTTCAAAAACAGTTGTAGAGTACATCAACAGGGAGCTGCCAGAAATTCAAGCCAGATTCAGAAGAGGATTAAAAAAGGGATATTATTGCTGATGCCAGATAGATCTTAGTTGAGAGCACAGGATAAAAGAAAGATGGGTACTTGTGTTTTATTGACTGTGTGAAAGCATTTGACTGTATGGATCATAGCAAACAATAATTAACATTATGAAGAATGGATATTCCAAAACACTTAAATTGTGCTCATGCAGAACCCTTACATGGAACAAGAGGTAGTCATTTGAAGAAAATAAGGAAATGTTGCATGCTTCAAAATAAAAAAGAGCATATCAGGGTGTATACTTTCACTATATGTATTCAATCTACAGGCCAAGCAAATAATCCAAGAAGCAGGACTATATGAAGAAGAACGAGGCAACAGTATTGAAGGAAAACTCATTAACAACGTGTGATATGCAGATGATACAACCTTGCTTGCTGAAAGTAAAGAGGACTTACAATGCTGATGAACATAAAAACAAACAAACAAAAAAACAAGAATAGAGGTAAATATTGTTAACCAATGGTACATGGAGAGGATTGTACTTATTGCAATGAAACAAAATATGATTTGTTGCATATAAAACTGGTTGGTGATCTGCCCTGTGATTCACAATAAAAGCTTAAAAAAATAAACAACATAAAAACTTACTGATGAATATCAAAGACTGCATACAGCCTTCAGTATGGGTTGCACCTGAATATAAAGAAAAATGTGAACAAAAATCCTCACAATTGGACTGATAAGTAACGTCAAGGTAAATGGACAAAAGGTTGAAGTTGTCACAGATTTAATTTTATTTGGATTTACAATTAATCCTTATAGAAGCAGCAGTTAAGAAATAAAATGACATAAATCATTAGAAAAATATGCTGCAAAAGACCTCTTTGATGTATTTAAGAGCAAAGATGTTATTCTTTTTTGAGGATTATGAGCATCTGACATAAGCCATGGTATTTAGATTGCATTGTTTCCATGTGAAAGCTGAACAATGAGTAAGACAGATAAGACAAGAATTAATGCATTTGAACTGTGGTATTGGTGAAGAATATTGAAAGTTCCATGAACTGCCAGAAGATCAATCAGGCCTGTGTTTGAAGGAGCACAGACAGAATGCTCTTTAGAAGGGAGGATAGCAAGATTTCATCTCATGAACTTTGGACATGCTTCAGGACGGACTCCTTCCTGAAAAGGGACATCATGCTTGGGAAGGCCCACACTGAGGTTAATTGACATGATACTTACAACAAACATAAGAGTTGTGATGATGCCTAGGACCTGACAGTTTTTTGACAAGATGGCATCTAATATGAATAATAACATGAGTAAAATACTGAATGATGTAGATAGCAAAAGATAATATGGAAGAAATACAGAATACCTGTACCAAAAAGAATCAGTCAACAGTTCAATCCTTTCAGTAGGGAGCATATGATTAAGAATCTTTAGCACTGAACAAAGAACAAGTTTCATGGACAGCACTGGACAAAAATAAGACTCTGGAAAGTAACTGAATGCCAAGTCAAGATGTTTGAATAAATCAATGCAATGCTGGATGTGTTTACTTATTAATGCCAAGGAATTTAGAAGATAAATGCTCAGCAACAGAATAGTTAAACTTTGGTAATGCACATGATGAAATATTGTGAAATGTTGAATTATAATGATGAATCTAAGAAACACCTCATAATGCGGATTCAATCTGAAGGACATTATGCTGAGTGAAATTAGTCAACCACAGAAGGACAAATACTGTACGAGACCACTGTTTTAAAAAGTTAAGAAAATATTTCATTGGGAAGGAAGGGTAAATTATTCATTGGATAGAGGGTGTTGTTGTTAAGTTCCAATGAGTCGATTCTGACTCATAGTGACTCTATATAAGGTTTCTAAGGAAAAGCAGTGGATTTGAACCATTGGTCTTGTGGTTTGCAGTCCAGTGCTGATAGACACATGTTAATCTGGGTGACAGTGAAGGCAATATACAAGTAGGAGGTTAGCAGAGGAAAGATGAAGGTAGCAGAAGACACAGGGAGGAACATGAGAGTGAAAGCGAATAGAAATAAATACCAATAACTGATGGTACAGAGAGGGGATTGCAATCACTGGAGTGAAAATAAATGTGAGATTTGTTGAATGTGGGATTAATGATCTGTTCTGTAAGTCTTCACTCAATTCACAAGTAAAAAAGAAGGAAGAAAAAGAAAGAAATTTGGAAGATAGCTACTTGGCCAATGTCTGGAAGAGCTTCATATTTGCCACTATTCCAAAGAAAAGAAGTCCCAAATCATGTGGGAAGTATAAAGTAATATCATAGTATCACATATAAGTGAATGTTGTTGAAGACAATTTTAAAGTGGTTACAGTAGTATATAGACAGGGAACTGCCAGGAAGTCAAGCCAGATTCAGAAAAGGACACGGAGTGAGGGACATAATAGCTGATGTAAGATGCATCTTGTCTGAAAGTATGAAATGTCAAAAAGTTGTCTATCCCAGTTTTTTTGTTTTTAAATTTTTGAAAGGCACTTGACTGCATGGGTCATAAAAATTATGGAAAACTTGTGAAGACTGGAAATTCCAGAACACTTAATTGTGCTCCTATAGGATCTGTACAGAGGCAGTCTTTGCAATAGAACCATTGAATACTGCTTGGTTTAAATTCAGGAAAAATATGTCAGGTTGAATTGCAGTTTATTTGTCAGGCACAAATAAAACTGTTACAGTTGGAAGTTTAGAGTTACCTGGAGAAGTGAACAACTGTGGAGTACTAAACATGTACAAACATTTAAATGAATATTGTTGTTGTTAAGTGCCATCAAGTTAGTTCCAACCCATAGGGAACCTGTATAGCGTTTCCGAAGAGCTGCTGGTGAGCTTGAACCACCGACCCTGCAGTTCAAATAGCTTTGAAGCCTGGCGCATTAACCCACAGTGCCACACCAGGACTCCTAAATGAATATAGTGGTCGTGGTTATGTGCCGTGGAGTCGGTTCTGACTCATAGCGACCCTGTACAGGGTTTCCGAGGCTGTAAATCTTTACAGGAGCAGAAAGCCTCGTCTTTATTCTGCGGAACAGCTGGTAGTTTTGAACTGCTGACCTTGAGGTTTGCAGCCCAATTCGTAACCACTACGCTACCAGATAGAGTGAATAAAACAATAACCCTGATGTGTCTGAAGTTTAAACCTGATAAGAAGTAAAATGCACTAATAATATTACATGTCAGAAAAGGATAAATGGACTAAAATTGATCTAAGATCCTTTCACTACAAGAAAGAGGTACTACTGACAATTTGTACTAGACTTTGAGAAACTATGTAGAGATCTCTATGACAATAAATAAAATGAATATAAATTGATGCATAAAAAAAAAAGGGATATTCAGTAGTACAATAACAAGTTAATCCCAAAGTGGGAAAAAAAAAAAAGTAACAATAATTCACACATCAGTGGGAGTAACAGTAAATATAAGTGCATGTAAAATAACACATTTATGTAGAGAAATAAAAATAACTGTCTTTAATGTGATGAATTATCCTTTAAAAAAGTAGTCTATTTAAAAGACTAGTACTGTGAGATTGCTTTAGAGGAAAGTTCAATGCTGACTGTAAGGCAGACAAACTTAATTTACAATTATATGCAAGGCTAAGAGAAAAAGATGCTGCTTAATTTTCACCTTGGTAAATTTCACAATGTCAGGAAAGGGGCAGTCACCATTGTATTCTCACCATAAGCAGATCTATGAAAATAATGTTAATTTGGGGGTAGAACAAAATACCTGCATTATAGTAACAATTAATACATTCAAGTCTACTAATACAAAAATACAAAAGACTTTGATATGAATGAAAAAGTAAAATAAATTCATTAAGAAATTGAAGATAGGGAAAGAAAACTAAGCAGAAGTATTAAGAAAAGTGTTGGAAAGCTAAGTGGAAATTAAGTACACTGGAACACAAAAAGAAACAATTATAAATACATGTTGAAAATATTATGAAAAAACATTTCATGCCTAAAGTTTCAAAAAGTTGCATATTGAATCTCATTCCGATTGAGAGAGAGACTTTTCTTACATTCTTTATTTCTGCAATAACATTTTCTTCACACGATCATAGATCTGCTTGGTTCTGACTCCATAGACAACAGGGTTGAGCATTGGTGGCACTATGACATAGAGATTGGCCAGTAGTATATGGACATAGCGGGGGACATTACAGCCAAAGCGATGTGTCATAAAGGAGAAGAGGGCTGGTGTGTAGAAGGACAGAATTACAAACACATGTGAACCACATGTGCTAAGAGACTTAAGTCGGGCTTCCCGTGAAGGTAGATGGAAAACAGTATGGAGTATCTGGACATAAGAAATAGCAATGGCTATTATATCAAACACTAGGTTACCAATGGCACATAAGCCATAAATAATATTGACCTTGATATTGGCACAAGATAAGCGAGCAAGACCCATGTGTTCACAATAGGTATGAGGGATGATATTATTTCCACAGAAGGGCAGTCGTATTATGAGAAATATAAATGGAAACACAAAAATAAATGACCTCACTAATACAACAAGACCAATCATAGAAACAACCTTGTTAGTGAGGATGGTGCTATATCGGAGTGGGTTGCAGATGGCCACATAGCGGTCATAAGCCATTGCCAAGAGTACTGATGATTCCATAACTGTGAAGTTGTGGATGAAAAACATCTGGGTGAGGCACGCATCAAAGATTATCTCTCTAAGGTTGAACCAGAAGATACCAAGCATCTTAGGAATGGTTGCTGTGGATAAACCTAAGTCAATGGTGGCCAACATGGCCAGAAAATAGAACATGGGTTGGTGCAAGCTGTTCTCAGCCTGGATCACAAACAGAATGGTGAAGTTCCCTAATAGTGCAATCAAATAAACAGCAGAAAAGGGAAAGCCAATGCAGATATGGAATGTTTCCATTCCTGGGATTCCCAACAGCAAGAAAAATGAGGGATGAAATTGGGTGTTATTGGGAGGAAACATTTCTTATGGTACTGTATAAGTCCAGAAGTATCAGAAATATGTGCTCATCAAGTCTGCAATCACCAAATATATTCCTACATTGGAGACATAAAAGTAACATAAGATCATTGTAAAATTATTTACATTCTCTTCTGTAGATAATTCTGAAAACCTCAAATTTACTATGTACAAAGCATAAGATCAGAGAAGGAGGTAGACGACAATTTATAATAAAATGCTCTACCCGGTACTTTGAAAAATGCTAGCATTGTCTTTTCATTTAATTAAGAAATAATCTTATTACTGAGATTATACAAAGCTTTTGCCTGACATGCACTTTTTAGATAACTTCTCTATCACCATCATCACTAAAAAACTCTTCTTACAATTTTGAACTTAGGCTTCATTTTCAAGCACTAGTGTAGCACTGTAGGATAAGCATTGGACTGCTAACTACAAGGTTGGTGGCTCTAACCCACCATCCACTCCTTAGAAACTCTACACAGGGACTATGAGGCAGAACTCACTGGACAGCACTTAACAACAGCAAGGTTTATTTAGCCCTTAACACAATAATAATAATAATAATAATAATAATAACCCACTGCTACTAGTCAATTCTGACTCAGAGTGAGCCTACAAGACAAAGTAAAGCTGTTCCATAGGGTTTCTCAGATTAAATCCTCAAGGGAGTATACAATCCCATCTATCTTTCCCCCATGGAGATCTGACTGGTTTGAACTGGTGACCTTGTGGTTAGCACCCTCCACTTACTCCATTGCACCAACAGGGTTTCTTCTTAAATATAAAGATAGCCATTAGTACCAGTTGGTTAAATAATAATGTAGAGGGATTAACATACAAAATGTGTAATAAACATTCAACAAATGTACAAATTTATCATTTATATTCAAATATTAAAAATCATTTTAAAAGAATTAAAGTTAGTCTATTTTTTTATAGTTGGTCATTATAAAATACCACCATCTTTATGTCAATTTGTTGTGCTGTAAAGTCTTGCATACTGCTCTCTAGTAGCATAGTGATTATGAATTGGGCTGCTAATCTCTTGGTCAGCAGTTCAAAACTACTAGCAGTTCCACAGGAGAAAGATGAAACTTTCTGCTCCTGTAAAGATTTACAGCCTCAGAAACCCTATGCAGGGTCGCTATGGGTTGGAATCAACTCGACAGCATTTAACAACAACAACAGCATAAAGCTGTAGATTGTACCAATATTTCAAGTATCAGTAGGGTTGTTCATGGCAGACAGATTTAAGCAGAGATTTCAAACTAAAATAGACTCAGAAGCAAAGCTTGCTGATAAGCATTGTGTTTTATTAATTTTAATAAAATTTTATTGAAATAATTAAAAATTCTTAGGCAATTATAATAATACAGAAACACTCCTTGCAATTATAACTTTCTTACAAAAACATCACAACTTACATACTTCTAAATACTGATTTAATTGACTCCAACAAACTCCATTTATATATTTAATCTTACTTTCACTGTTATACATTTAAACCAACATAATTACTATTCAGTCAGTTGGACATTTCAGATATATTAGAATCACCTTTTCCCTTATGATTATTTGAAGAAAAATACTATTAATTCTACTCCTAAATTTATCAATAATATCAGTACATATATCTTTATCTTAATGGAAGTAGTTAAAACTATCAGTTTTTTGATTGATGATAGGATAGTATTTTCTTTTGAGTTATGGTATTGGAGGAGAACATTAAAAGTGCGATGGGCTGCCAAAAGAACCAACAGATCTGTGTTGGAAGATGTGCAGCCAGAGTGCTCCTTGGAGGCCAGGATGGCCAAACTTCATCTCTCAAACTTTGGACATGTTGTCAGGGGGACCAGTTGCTGGAGAAGGATATCATGTTTGGTAAGGTGGAGAGTCAGAGAAAAAGAGGAAGACCCCAGTGAGATGGATTGGCAAAGTAGCAGCATTGATGGGCTCAAGTGTGGCAACAATAGTGAGGTTGGCCCAGGATCAGGCAGTGTTTCATTCTATTGTGTATGGGGTCTCTATATGTACTGACTCGATGGCACCTAACAACAACGAGGATAAGCTCATAAACAAATTAAACACTCATGCATTTAAATCCAGTTTAGTATTTGCTCTACAGTAAACGGAAAATAAATACCAAGCATCACAAGTTAGTTGTGTGACCTTTTGCTAGAAATTAACATCTATATTCCTGGATTTCTTCATCTATAAAATATAAACTAAAAAAATGTACAAAGGTAAGTAAAGTATTGCTACTAGGGCTCTAATTCAAACATGCATGGGTTTATTCCAAACAAAACATGTTGAAACATGTCTCTGCAATCCGTGGATAGCAGCAGACAGCTCCCCTCAGTAATATACTTGGCTTAATCTCATTGCTGTTGTTAAGTGACGTTAAGTGAATTCCAACTCATAGTAACCCTGTAGAGGGTTTCCAAGGAGCAGCTGAGGAACTGGAACCACCAACCTTGAAGTTCAAACCAAGCTTGCAGTCTAGTGCATTAATCCACATTGTCACACCAGGACATCCAGGAAAACATTAGAGAGATGTAAACACTGCCTTCAGTAGTGTACAGTCCTAGATGGAGGCTATTTCTGGAAGTAAAAACTTCACATTTTGATATTTTTGCTTAATAAAGATTTCTGTGCTCATGTGGAACTTGTACATAGATCAGGAGGCAGTCATCCAAACAAAGTAAGGGGTTACTGAATAGTCTACATCAGCAAAGGTATGTGTTAGGATTGTATCTTTCACCATACTTAGTCTGTATGTTGAGCAATAATACCAGGAGATGAACTACATGAAGAAGAATTACAAAGCAAGAAGTGACTGGCTTCAAGGAGACATCAAGGCAAGTGGTCGGGTACCCTCAGGGCAAACTCTCTTCCAAGACTAAGACTCAATGGGAATATGTGCTCTGATTGGTGACCATGTTCGTCACTGATATGGGGAAGTGAGGGAAAAACAGCAATGAAGCTACATGGTAAGCCCTACAATGTTCAATAGACTCTTGTGAACGTGGGTAGAGACCTGGTCAGCCAGCTGTGTGGCAAGACCTGGGGACTCTTGGGCCCAGAGTCAGTGACATAGCCACAGAGGACTAGAGTGAAGTATTCAACTGATAAGAAGAGAGGGCATATGCATAAGAACACCCACACTTGCAGATAATACCCACTCGACATAGCTTCAATGACTGGATGATCAGAGCTCAAGCAGAAGAAGAAAGAAGAGGAAATAAAAAAGAGTAATCTGATACAATTTGATGAACTTGACTTACACCTGTGGATGCAGTAACTCAAAAGAGGGAACACATCTTTACAGCAAGGATCATTGCTGTACACAGAGCAGACAGGGATGGGGAACTTAGACATTGGTTACCCAAAAAAGGGAGGGGGGGGGGCTACAAAGGCAAGACATGACTGGCTTACAAGCTTTCAAGAGAGAACCTAGATCTACAGGGTGCGGAGGAAGGTGGTAAAATCTCCACTGAGTAGTATCCAATCTGTCTAGGTGGGGCTGATGAAAGGAGATGAGGATAGGTCTCTTGTGATACAACAGTGAATAATTGTTATCAGGACTGATTGTGACAGTTTGAAATGTAATTGCAGACATTTTGCAGCAAAAGGAGTGTAGTGATTGACTTTGCAGTGTAGGAGCGGAGGTCCCTGGGACCATCAAGGGAGAAGAGCAGAGAGTGGGACCCTACCTAACAGAAAAGCAGTGACGCCAGAGATGGAGGCAGAGACAATGATGTGGAAAGATGGAGCAGCTGGGGACTTTAGACCCAGAAAGGAAGAGGGGCTGTGTGCTGACGACCAGGGAGCAGGCTTTTAGGGTAGACACTTTGGCTGGTTGATGATTCATGGAGGGGATTGTAACCATGGTAATGAAACAATCTATGATAGGATGAATGTAAAGCTAATATTTTCCCATGTAACCTATCATATAATTCATAATAAAACATTAAAAAAAAGAAGTGACTGGCTTACAAGCTTTCAAGAGGGAGCCTAGATCCAGAGGGCATGGAAGAAGGCAGAATCTCCACTGAGTAGTATCCAATCTGTCTGGATGGGACTGATGAAAGGAGATGGGGATGGCTCTCATGTGGTACAATAGTGAATAATTGCTATCAGGACTGACTGTGAGGGTTGGAAATGTAAAGGTGGACATTTTGTAGCAAAACAAGGGGAGTGGTTGACTTTGCAGTCCAGGGTCAGAGGTCCCTGGGACCATCAAGGGAGAAGAGCTGAATGTGGGACCCTACCCACAGAAACAGTGACACCAGAGATGGAGGCAGAGAAGATGATGTGGAGAGAGGGAAGGGCTGGGGACTCTAGACCCAGAGAGGGAAAAGGGCTGTGTCCTGACAACCAGGGGGCAGTTTTGCAGGGTATACCCTTTGGTTAGTTGATGATGCATGGAGGGGATTGTAACCATGAAAATAAAACGATATACAATAGGATGAATGTAAAGCTAATGTTTTTCCATGAAACTATCACATAATTCACAATAAAACATAAAAAAAGAATGCAGCATCAGGACTCTAGGAAACGTCTTAACAAACCATGCAGATGAAATAGCCTTGCTTGCTGAAAGTCAAAAAGACTTGAAGCACTTACTGATGATCATCAAAGAATGATCAGAATGGATTACAATTCAAAATAGAATAAAAAATGAAAAAAACCCTTCTAACTGGACCAATAAACAACATCATAATAAACAAATAAATGATTAAAGTCAAAAATTTCATTTTACTCCTACACGATCAATACTTATGGATACAGCAGTCATAAAATCAAATGGTGTATTGCTTTGGGGTTTTCCTCTTCAAAAGATCTCTTTAAGAGTATAAAATAGCAAAGATACCACTCTCAGGATTAAGGTACACCTAACCCAAGTCATGGTATTTTGAATCACCTCACATGCATGTCAAAGCTGGATGTTGAGTAAAGACGACTAGAGAAAAATAGATGCATTTGGATTACGGTGT